GAATGAAACACTGCTCCAGTCGACCGAAGGAATTATTTATGAATGGTCAAAGAGAAAAAAAAAAAAACTGAACCCTTGTTTCGCATGATACTCGATGGATTATCGATTTTTCAATTCTTCTTTCTAGAAACGGACCAGGTCGGCTGAAAACGCAAGAGTCCCGTCGATTAGGACGACGAAAGCAATATATGCACGTGCGAACGGGAGAAAAGCTCGCGACAAATCTCCATTTGTCGCTCTGTCTTACGTCTCTCTTCTCAAACTGTATTAAACACACGTGCAATCCGCCACGGATGTCAGACTCTTATTTTCTAATCGAGAGAGGTCAGAGATCGTACGACCACGATGAAAATCCGATTTCCAAAAGTTCCACATTATCTCAAAAACTTGTTTACCAAATATTACCGACGTGCTTTGAAAATCAACCGGCGTCACGCCTTAAGTCAAAACTAGAAATAGTATACCAAAAAAAAAAAAAAAAAAGAAAAAAAGACGGAGAGATTCGAGTACATTACTTTTATTCGAACAACGAAGTTCGACTTTTCTAAAATGGAAACGTCAAGACAAATCGAGACGTCGAGCTCGAGAACTGCTTTACAATACATTACCGGGGAGAGGATAATGCGATTTGACTGCAATTCATACGTTATCGGTATACAAGATGATTTATGTACGTGTATAACGTAGATTGGATAAGCCACGGAGCACAAGTTTTTTCCTATGTGCATTTCAATTACGCCACTCTACGTGTACATGGTGTTTAGTGAAATTCTACGAATGTTTCTGTTGTATCGTTTCTAGCGTAATCATCATTGTCGCGTTCATTCTGCGTATTTTTTACTGTACTTCTTCGATCGACTGTCGCGCAGGTAGCGCTTGATACAATTACTACACGACACACAACCACACACACACACACCCACACACATACATATATATATATATACACATATATATAGTCTTATCGAACTGTTAAAGAAAGTATCATATATATGTACGTTAGAATATGGAGATATATTTATTTTTAAGTTTTTAAATTATAAAATTCGTTAAAAATTCACACATTGTATCTGTTATTGAAAACCCTGCGCTTGTCGAAAAGTGTTGCCGCTAATCGATCCGATTTTTATCAAATTTTTGCGAGGAATTCACGAATTTCTCCATTCGTTTAAAAATGTTATAGCAAAACGACACGAATGATCTTTAAAGAAATACATATATTTAATACATCGTAGATGCAAATGGCGATTACGAAAATATATCATACAAATGAATATACAATTGTATTAAAAAAAAAATCGAATAAACGTAGTTGCGATTTACCAGCAAGATTGTAACAGTTTAAAAAAGAATTTAAATGCTCCGCGATGTCACGTGACGTGAGTTGCGCGCAAAAGCGGGAATTCGTGTTCGTGGCGCATGTCAACCGCCATGTTCGTTGCACTGTCGTTTATACGAAATTGTAAGGCGCGCGCGCGGTAAATCGTGTTTTTGTCGTGCGTGGAATTCCGTTTAATTAGAAAGATGTCATTTGGCACAGGATTCGGAGTGACAACTTCGACGCCTGCACCTGCCTTTGGTTTTGGTTCTACGGCGTCTACGGCTGCAACACCAGTGAAACCGGGTAAGTCAGTTTGTTTTAGGTTATGTTGCATTTCGAATTTCCTTCTGTTACATGTGACTTATTTGGGAAATTTCGTATTCCGTTGATACGTATCTTTTTACAGGCTTAATATTTATTACGAAATACATTGTTGTCGATATTTATAGGACGTCAGTCCGACCGATTACTCAAATTTCTAATATGCTGTTTCATCTTGATTTCGATTTGAAACAAAATTCACTCCCGTTTGCATAAACGTATCGCGATGCTTCGTACCTGGAGCGATGCTATCTTTGTTAAAAAAGTATTTCTCGTACTAATCTCTCGACGAACCGTTACTCGTTTTATTAGTACTTTGGGATATTTTATCTAGCAGTGGCTGATTTATACCGGTACATCCTGGTTCACATTCTGTGTCAGATTTACCAAAGAAATTCCTTCTTCTTTTTGATCTAGCTATAAGACACGCTGTGATGCAGCACATAAATAATATAACCACAAGCGCGCTTAATAAAGCAACTAAAACCGAAGAATGTCCTTCGGATCTGCCATTAGCATTGATCGTTTCATCTGTAGACATCATAGCTTGCACGTATCTTGATGTAGATTGTAAATCAATTCTTGGAGTTGCATATTTCATTTTAGGGCTTGTTTCATCTAAATCATACATTTCATTTGGTATTTTACCTAATGTTGTTATCATAACTTCAGCTGTAACATCCTTAAACAAAAGTTAGTCTATTGTAATAAGTTTCTTTTATCTAAATAATATGGTGGTGTATGTTATATATCATTTGTGTATTCCAACTGGTTGTAAAATATACCCCAATTGCTACATCCGTAGTACCAAATTCATGCAGCAGTTCCGTAGCAGTTTCTTTAGTTCCATCGGCACGGCGGAATACTATTTTGCTACCAGACATTGTGGCAACCTTAAATAACTTATGCGCGAGTTGTCCATATTTGCTATCCTGTTAAATATTCTTTCTAGATATTAAGCTTTCTAATTCTTACAAGTGCTTACATATAATGGCCATACCTGACTTTGCTGATTTATGTATGACATGTTTGGATGATGTATGTTAATTATGATTTAATACTTTCTAGTATTTCCGTATTATTTGGAACCACCGTATGTATTATAATATTTCTAATGTATTCAATGTATTCGCGATACGCGTAATTAACAAATTCCACGGACGAATAAAACGTAACTTATTGTCGCGATTGCGTGCAAGACATATTTTGTCATTTGCTTGATTCCCTTTTCGGAGCATTTTCAAGTCAATAAAAACAAAAAAGCCAATTTTTGTGTCAAGAAGATTGCATAATTTCACGTCGTATGTGAATTATTTCGTAACATTCGTTTAACGTACATAAGTGCGATGTATTTATTCTATTTATAGATTTTTCAATTTGATCATCGTAGTGTGAATCGTGAGTGTGTGCACGTGTTGTAATAAAGAAAATATGGTAATATTTGTCAATAATTATTTTACGGAAGTATAAATACTTGGATTACTCTAAAACTAATCCTTCGGCAGGATTTGGAACACCATCTTTTGGATTTAGTACACCTGTAACTTCGACTCCGAGTCTGTTTGGTTCTTCTTCGACCCCTGCGACCGGGGCATTTGGCACCGGTACTGGATTCGGAACTCCGGCTGCTACCGGTTTCGGTAGCACTGCTACAACTGGTTTCGGCGCGACGCCTGCATTTGGTACGACTCCTACTAGCGGATTTGGAACCACTCCAGCCTTTGGTACCACGCCAGCTTCGACGGCAACTGGATTCGGTGCGACTTCAAGTTTTGGTAGCACGCCTGCTTCGACGACGGGTTTTGGTGGATTTGGGACTACCACGACATCATCGTTAGGGTTTGGTGGGTTCAGCGGTTTTGGAACAGCGACAACTACGTCTGCGCCCTCATTTTTTGGAGGATTTGGTACTACGAGTACACCATCCACTGGTTTTGGTACATCCACTGCCTTTAGCGGGTTCGGAACAAAACCGACAACTACGACTACAACCACTGGTTTTGCTGGTTTTGGAACAGGTCGGTTCCGATAAAACTCCGTCCTTTCTTATCGATATAAGGTTCGTTGACGTTAAATTTTTCGAACAGGTACAGGATTCGGTGGCTTTGGAATCGGGTTAGGGCAACCTCAACAGCAGCCGCAGTTTCAACAACAGCAACAACAGCAACCAACTGCTAACACTATATCGGAAGCACTATATAATGCCGTTTTTAATTGTCAGTTGTACAACGATGAACGCGACAATATCATCGCTAGATGGAATCTTTTGCAATCTCTGTGGGGTACTGGAAAAGCTTACTATTCTATGAACGCACCAGCGATCGATCTTACTCAAGAAAACCCGCTATGTAGATTTAAGGCTATAGGGTATAGTCGTATGCCCGAAGCTGACAACAACGAAGGGCTCGTTGTACTCTGTTTTAATAAAAAGAAAAAAGATGTGAAAGAGGGCGAGGTACAGTTGATCGGTTTTATAAATAATATTTTGGGGAATAAGCCAAACTTATCATTAACGGTGGACAATATGAAAGCAGTCGGAGAGGAGAAGAGTCAGGTGACCATCTTTGTTACCGAAAAGGGAATTACGGGAGCCCCGAGAAAAATTCCCGCTAACGAATTGGTCGCGTATTTATCGCAACCGATGCAGAAACAGCAATTGGTGCAAAATGGCGTGGAAGACATATTACCTTTGGTTAAACTAGATCCTACCCAGCTCAAAGAATATTTAGACAATCCACCGTGCTCCATCGATCCTAGATTATGGAAACAGGCTCAGTTGGATAATCCTAATCCGGAACTTTATATACCAGTACCGATGATTGGGTTCCAGCAAGTGAAACACAGATTAAAGTGCCAAGAGGAAGAAACGACCAGGCATAGAAATTTTCTAGACTTGGCGGCGGAAGAGATACAGAAATTGCAGAGACAACACACGGCGATACAAGCTAGGCTTAAAGAGCATAGAAGAACTTTGCTGGAACTCCAACACCGGGTATTGCAGGTAAGCATGTCTTACTTCTTTAATCGTAAATTCCACCCGAGTCTATTTATTTTTACGCCTGTATTTTTTCGTTAGGTATTGGTACGTCAGGAAATCACGCGGAAAGTTGGATTGTCTCTGCAACCGGAGGAAGAAGTTTTGACGCGCAGGTTCGAAGCTATGCATTCGCAAATCAGCGCGCCGACTCAATTCAAGGGTAGAATTAGCGAAATGCTTTCTCAGTTGAGAATGAGGAGTCATGTGGACCCTCAAAATCAGGAGAGATACGCGATGGACCCTATAGCGCAGGACGATATAAAATCGGTATGCGAGAAGCGATACGCCTAAAATAAATATAACCTTATAAAAACGTGTATAACTTTTCGTTATTCGTTTGTTTCAGTACCTTACGATGGAGCAACACGGCATGGGACAGCTTATAGCAACGATAAATTCCGATTTAGAAAGTTTAAAAATCATTAAAGACGGCATGTCAAACCTTTTGATGAGTCAGAATCATATATCGTGAGAATTACAGTTAGTTACGTAAGTTATCCCCGTTTTCTTTTTTGTATAAAAGGAATTCTTGCACCTTTGATATTCGGTGCCATATTTATTTTTTATTCGTTTCGCATTTGTCGAGATTTTTGTTGTTGATCGTACGATGTATACGCGATTTATTTGCGCCGAAAACAATGTTGTCAATTAAAATAATTTTCCACTCGTTACACGGCTGTTAATGACAGGGATTGCCTTTTTAAGCGGAACACTCGAGAAACAAATGGAGACGTTGAGACGCGTTTATATTTAGGATACCGACGGAAAAAAAATAGGTATTGTTACATACAGAGAAGAATAAAGAATTTTTACATAAATAATGTGCTTTTATTGAATAGGTTCATGTCGTTAAACACACACTTCATCAGAAACGCACATAATTTCCTCCATACATCGTAACTTTTTGGATGACTATATCTTATACGTAATATATCTTTATATACATATTATACATAGGCGTTTAGTATAAAATATCCGGTTACTCTCGATCGCGCGTCATCTCTCAAAGGCCTTATTATACAGAGGTTTTTCCTACCATAACGTTACATCTGTCTTTCGTCGGGCACATACAACACATTAAGATTGAGCAAATCTTGTTCGGTTCCCAAACTCTTTCTTCGTCGACGGCTATTACAACGTATTACGATATATTTGGTTTCGCAGTCTAATCAAAACGGACAACTTTCTCGTTAAGATCAATCTTTCTTTTCACCGGTGCGTTTCATCGATATCGAACTCTATCATCCACTTTGGTCCCAAGTAATTGGTATGCAAAGATCGAGTAAATTTTGTCTCTAATAGTACCGGTTCTCAAACATTCGATACATCCTCGAAACGTATGCGTCTAATGACTCGATTCGTGGGACGCAAAAACCAACCGTGGCCCGAGCAGAATTCAAGGTAATTCGCGAACGCTCGAGATCGTCCCGCCGGTATCGAAATATGTACGGTTTGAGTAATATTTTTGTTCGCGTGCCAAGAAAAAAGGTATCGATTTCAGGACGACCTCGAGAACGTTTAACACCGGCCACGGCAGGTAGCTTGAGATACCAGCCACGGAATCTGAAACGTGACTCCTCGACTCATGGAAAAAAAGGACGTAGGCGATCGATAGTCGATCCTAGATCAGGCTACGCGACGCTTGGCGCAACGTCACGGACATTTCGTTACTTATTGACCGTCAGATCCAGGGGAAGATCTTGCTCCATTTCGACGACATTCTCATTTTTTACCCGAAGATCTTGTCCGCAGCTGTTGTTCGTGTCCACGATGTTGCCCCATACGTTTTGCAGCCCGTATTGCAGATCTACCGTGCCTAGCAGGTGTCTGAAGAGAGGATTTTGCGCCTTGAGGATCAGGTCCGAGAGGATCTTCGTCTTCTCGAGGATGTTGTCGTTGCTGTGCACGCAACACTTGCGACGACAGCAACAATCGTTTGCATCGCTACAGACCTCCTCTTTGATAGGTGTTTGCTCGACCTCCATCTTGATATCGTCCGCTCGTTTTATCACAGAATTCCTCGTCTGCTCGCAGACCATCGCGTTGCTCTCCTTCTTGCAGGGCGTGCTGTTGACGATCGACTCGATGTTCCTGTAGTCGACCGTACAAACTTTACTCGAGTGTTCGACGGGCTCCTCGGTCTTTATAGGCGTCGATTGTCCAATGCAAGACGACAAAGAGTCGGAAACATGACGAGGACTGGTTTGAGGCGATCTAATCGGTTGACTCTCGCCGATGATCACGTTATTGGTAACGTACATAGGATTCGCTTGAATCTTATCAGGTAATATGTAGCTCTCATCGTAGATCCTCGTATAGATCTTCGCGTCCTGCTCGTATGGTTTCCTCGGCATGATTTGATCCTGTTCTTTGCATTGTTCTTGCAAATTATACATGTTGTTCCATTCGACGAAGTTTCTTTGCTCTTCGAAACTGTAGCTGATCTTTGGGCTCGACCCCGATATGCTGCTCTCGATGCTGCTGTCCTTCTTATCCGATTCGGAATGAGTGCTGCTGCTCTGTTTCTCCGGCGAGGTGACATCGAACCTCGTCTTCTCCTGGGAATTGTTCTCGTCGAAACTCTTCTCCTGAACTTTGTCGTTATTGTTCACGTAGTGTCTGTACGTTTTAACGTGCTTGCGCAACGACGAGGGATCCGTGTACCTCTTCGGGCAACCCGGGACCTTGCAACAATACGGTTTGTCCACGGCGTGGGTCCTGGTGTGCTTGAACCTGTCCGAGGAGTTGGAATAAGCCTTGTTGCAACCTTCAACGGGACAGACGTACGGCCGTTCGCCAGTATGAGAACGAGCGTGGATTTTCAGGTTTTCCGCTCGGCTGAAACTTTTGTCGCATTGGAAACAGTGGTGCGGTTTCTCGTTCGTGTGCGTTCGGACGTGGACCAGCATCTTGTATCTACGATCGAGGTAAAGACAACGTCGGTGTTATTATTACTTATTAATATCTACAGGTGTTAAACGGTTTTCACCGACGGATTGTAATTCTCGATCAAGAGAAAATTCTGCTTACCTGGCATTAAAACCTCGTTCACCTCTCGCGCATCCTTCCCATCCACAATAAAAGAGTCCTCGTGGTCCCGGCGCGGCATGGAGTCGCGCGACGTGTCCTGCCAGTTGTTCCAAGGACGTGAACCATCGACCACAATTTTGCCATCTGCAATCGGAACGAGAAAAGTTAGCGTCTTCGCGACACGTATAACGTCGATCGTACGAAAATAGTCGTGGAACGGTTAAGAGCGACGAGTGAAGAGTGACTGATCTTTGGTCGGTCAATGATTTCGATCAATCGGATCGTTCAAGGCCAATATCTCGAATCTTTCGCCTGTTCTTTCACCGTCGAGCGATCTATCTATATACTTGTTCCTTCTGTCGCTCATTCACCGAGAGATTCTAAATATATAACCGATGCGCGCGATGAGATAAATTTTACGTTTCGATCGAT